ACTACTACAGCTCTGAGTTTAATATAAATGTGTCAATAAACCAATATTATTAATAAGCCCGAATCTTATTTAGTCTCGGCCGTTAATTATCGACAACTGAGCACAGCACTTCTATATCTAATTTGTCAAGGGCCGCTCGGAGGCTTTGTTTGTGCGAATAAATTGCTGCCTGATAATTGGCTTAGGGCGTGTGTGCCCTTACTGTTATTATTTTATTTCGACTTGACTCTTTTTTATACGGTCTTTGGAGGAAGGAACTGTCACTCCAACCTAAAGGATCCTCTACCAGTTTAACCAGCCCTAAGGCCCCAGTGGCTTTTTTTAATGGAATCTAGCAGTTGGCCTAAAGGGCCTGGACAGCTCAGGTTAGGCTGTTTCGACGGCTTTTTCCGCTACTAGTGTAAGGGCGTCTCCTGCGAGGCTTGGAACTCGGCTTAGGCCGTCGCGGGGTGGTCAGGCATGAAAGGCAGGACGGGATATTTGTTGCGATTTAAGTTATTTTAAGTTAAGTAGATCTCTCCGCATCTCCTAACGGATTTACCATGAAGAGTGTTCATGTGTGATTTCTAATAATTCATCAAACTTAGTACATACTTAGTATCGTAAAGTGGTATTTCATAACACACAAAATTTGACTTTTTTAAAATTTTTACATTTATAATTTGATTTAATTTAATTTTACACTTGTTTAAATAATAAATAAAATAAATCAGTGGCGCTACAACCTCTTTAGGTCTTGGCCTCAGATTTCTGAATCTGTTTCATGATCATTTTTAAATCTAATAGGCAAGTAGGTGATCAACCTCCAGTGTCTGACACACGCCGGCGACTTTTTGGGTCTAAGTCGGTTTCCTCGCGAAGTTTTCCTTCACAGTTCGAGCAAATGTTAACACGTTCACTGCGTAACAGGCCGATATCGGCCTGCCGCGGTATTTCAGCTGGTGCGGACGAAGAAATCTATGTCCCTCTCGCTGGTGCGTAACGATTATCTCAGGTGTTTGTAAAAATTCGACAGGGACAAATATATATTTCATCTTGCGGTCAAAATTGTAGGTGTTCCCCATCAAAACATAACGGCAGGCTTTTATCGACCTACCACGCACTGACGCTGCTGTGCATCCACTGAGAGTTAATCTATCTTAGTGCTGTTGGGTCTAGAAAGACCTGCCACGCACTGGCGGAAATATCATTGGGGGCGCATTTTGGCCCGCCGCCGCACCTGATGAAGAATTATGATTTTACTTGCCGCAGTGAACGTGTTAAATGCGTACATAGAAAGAAAGTCCATTGGTGCACAGCCGGGGATCGAACCTACGACCTCAGGTATGAGAGTCGCACGCTGAAGCCACTAGGCTAAGACTTGTTTATATAAAAATAAATTGTCTTTGAGTCCTTGTTTTTTATTGTTCCCTGTTCAATAAAAAAAAAAATTAATAGCGATTTGTGCAAAACCCGCTCTCAAAGGAGCCGTACCCACGAAATACATGACGACATAATTTTTAAATTGAATTTGTACGGGACTAATTAATAAAGTTTATTTGTTTGTGTTCTTTGTCTTCTACAATATTGTTTGAACCTCGCTGGAATATATTTGTGTCTGTTTCTCCACCACAGGCTTGATTAGTTCGGTAATGTAATATAATAAAAATGGGCCGATCACATTGCCCGAGTTTTAGGTTAAAATACCCTTATTTTGAATGGAAGCCCACACACAAGAAAAGGAAAATGGATAGCAGAGAAGAATTGGAAAATGGTGGCGAGGATGCAAGTGGAAGAATGTGGAGGATTCAACATGGACTTAATGTAATCATTAGGATTCGAATAAAATCTTTTTTTAATTAATAGAAAATATTTGAATTATTGAAAATAACTTCACAATATACAACAGAATTTAAAGTTATTTAAAGGCTTTTAAAAAACTTAATCCACTATAGAAAGCTTATATATTCAAATAAAAATATAGCAACACTGCTTGATTGCAAAAGCTTGATTTATGGTGTTTTAGTTTTTTTAATAATTTATTTTCAAATTTACATTTAAATTAATAGCAATTTTAATAGTTCTTCAGAGATTTAAAAGATTTTTGTTTTAAAATAACGAATTGATATACGAATAAAAATAAATACAAAATGCCTAAAAACGTGTAACAAGCGGAACACTTGCCAAAAAACCGCAATATATCGCTATCCTTATCTCTCCTTTATGTGCGACAGAGACGGACCATCTCTTACAATTATTCAATTTGTAACAGATGGTGTCCCCATGAGTTGTCGTCGATAATTTTTATTTGGCTATTTTGCATCACTAGCGTTTAGTTACATAAGCATGGAGGCAACTTTTATTTTAATATTAATTATTATATGGACAAAAATTGTTGAGATCAATTACTGTCAAATCAAATGATTTGTTGTTTGTTCTTTAAAATGTCTATAAACACGATTGATTTATTATATTAAATAAGGGATTAATAAATAAGTCTAATTGCAGACTTTTAGCAAGAGCACTCGTCTCTTTTCTTCATAGCGTAAAAATAATTAGACAATAAGAGACAAAGTGTACTTAAGGTAAAAGGAAACAATCAGAGATATATAACTGCCGATCACAAATACCATTATATGATATTTTACTTTGAATATACAAGTTTTGTGTCGTAAATTATCTCGTGTTATCAACCAGGTAAAACGTCATAAAGGAAAAACCAAAAATTCATACAAAATTCAAGTATCAAAGCGAATCAATCAAAGTAAATGTCAAAATTTAAGTAAATGATCGATTATGGTATTTAGAACTGACAGCAATAGATCGTTCGAAAATGTACTGTTTATTACCGATAACGGAGAGTATTTATCAGTTGATAACGTAAGACTAGTCAAAATGGCAGTCATTTTGAATTTTTACAGATAAATTTTGAAATTAGATAGATTTCGATTTTAGAACAGTGTTGGCCTAGCGGATTCAGCGTGCGACTCTCATCCCTGAGAATTTAGATTCAATCCCCGGCTGTGCACCAATGGACGTTTTGTCTATGTGCGCATTTAACATTCGATCGAACGGTGAATGAAAAAATCGTGATGAAAGCGGCTTGGCTTAGACTCAAAAAGTCGACGGCGTGTGTCAGGCACAGGAGGCTGATCACCTACTTACCTATTAGATAAACAAATTATCATGAAACAGAACACAACAGAACAAACAAACAAAAACAAAATATTTTACATAAAAGTCATAATTATAAAAAGTTAATAGATTTCTTTAGAAAAGTATTATTATTAATTTGGAACTAGGCCACAATCGTAACTGTGATTTAAATAAAAATGCCATCTCCACGCTTAACAGCCGCCCCCAAACTTAACTAATAGTGAGGGGTCACCGGGCATTTTATTTAAGTACGATAAATTCCATAGATTATATTTATTTGAGGGGTGTTAATGCGTTTTATTTATAATGTTTAATGTAAGCTAATCGCGTAGACGCACATGTTATTTGTGTAACAATTATCTCATTTGTGACAGCCCTTTATAATTATCATTATAATTGATCAAAGGGATAAAATAATGCATTACTAGCTTTGAAAATATTGTAACTTAAAATAGCCTACATAAGTTAAATGTTGGGTACATGGCCGTTTAAAGAAAAACTTAGTATCATTTTGTGAACTATCATACATGTCGTCGGGATTGGTATTGTCGATATTGGAAGTTACAGAGTAAGTGTGCTAACATTTAGTCATTTGCCGGGAACTATAAATGGTAGAACATAATACAACAAATACAAAAGACCTTAAAGACAACTGTATGGAAAGGACCAAGATGAAGAAGGAGAAGAGATCGCCCAAAAAAAAGGTGGAAACAAGAAATAGAAGCGGTAGCAGAAAACGAATGGAGAGAGAGAGGCCATAGACAGAGTCAGTTGGAAAAAGCTGGAGGAGGCCTTTACCCGTGAAGGGGTTCTGATCGACGGTACTGAAGGTAGCTAGGATATAGGATAACAAGCAAAAGAAAAAAAAAAAAATAATCTAAGCTGTGTATTATAATTTGTTTTTGTCATGATTGGAAATAAAACGGGCTTTATATATTATTATTATATGGCAGGGAACTTCTCATATAATGACGATAGCAGTCCATAACATCCCAGAGCTAGGTTCGAACCCCGGCTGTGCACCAATGGACTGTTTTGTGCGCATTTCCGCGGGAAATGTCGATGCCGGCAAAGTAGACGGCGTGTCAGACACTGAAGTCTGAGGCCAAGGGTTAAAAACTGTTCTGGTATACATCGGCCTATTAATGTTTTGTTGCCTGATGATACTTTACGCACGGGTGGCGACCCAAAACATTGCACACAATAGCGATGTTTATAGTATATATTCCTCGATTGATAAATCAAACAAGCCACAGGCTTAGTCCACTAAATGAAGGGTTGGGGCGCAGCGTTAATACTCTGTGCAAATTTGACACCTGTCAATTGTCAATGTGTTAGCTTGAGCGGGATTTTAACACTTACAAAAGCGTATATTTTAAATATTTTCTTAAAGGCAAGGCAATACGCCTTCGTCTGTAAGTGTAGTTTTGTTGGAAACTGAACACAAGATCCAAGGTTATTATTATTAATTTATTTGATTAAATATTATTATTTTATTTTATTATAATTAATTACCTATTAATTACTTAAGATGTCACGTGGAACATGGTGTAATGGTTGCAGCTCCTTAGTCCTTACAAACGTTGTGTAAAATAAAAAACTCGGCGATTAAAAAGATGGCGGAGAGTTTATTGCCAGTTCTTCCTTTCCGTTCTACGCCCTTGTTTTGAGAACTGGCAGTAAATTTAGAATTAGAAGCACATTATATATATAAGTTTATATATTTTTTTTGACGTTCATAAGTGTACATTGCGTTACCTATATGATTAAATGATTTTGACTTTGACCTAACCACTAAGCCACGGAGGCTGTGTTTATTACTGTTAATAGTTAATTTTTAACTGTAATATATTTTATTAACTGACCTCCCAACTCTGGTATTCGATGGTAAAACATCCCAGTCCTGGCGAGCCATTCCAACTGCATGTGATGGAGGACTCTGTCCCCGGGGTGATGAAAGGCGGACGGCATTGGCCCACCCTGGGGCATGGGGCTCATTTGCGGATAGTTGAATAAAGCAGACTGGGCTGCTACTAACGCTGGGTTTTGTGGTAGGAGGCCGGGTTTTGGGACGATTCCTGAAAAAAATATTAGTAATTAATCAATAATAAATGAATACAATTAATAGTCGCCCACTAGAGGTCCTGGGTTTGATGCCTATTGGAAGGAAACATATTTTGGCGTTCGTTATCCTATTCGATTCATATCCCAAAGGTCGTACGTTCGAATCTCAGCGTTTAAACTTTCGTCAAGAAAACACCGTGAAGAATGGTATACCAAAAATTTACTTTAAGTTGTGGCGCCACCGCATGATATAAAAAAAATATTTAATGTCAAAAAATTACAATTATATTACGAACAATTTCCCACATAAAATCACTGTCATCATTCCATAGACAATTATAAAACAGACTATAAACCAAGAAAATCTATAAAAATTGATAGAAAATAATATACCTGGTCTATAACTTTCAAATTCTTCACTGCCGCCCTCAACTCCCGGCGATATCGGTGGACTGTAGGTCTCAGATCGATTCCCTTCCTCCGACCCAGGGGACAGACTCCTGCTACTCCCACTTTTTGGACTCTCACTAACTCTCTCCCTTTCAAACCCTTCGTGACTCTCCTGGTAATCATTATACCGTATATAATTCTTGTTCATCAACGCCATATATTTCTGGGTTTTTTCGTCGTGTTTCGACAACAACGCGTCGATGCAGAAGGATTTTTTCTGGCTTATAACAGTCTTCTCTTCTGGCTTGTAAAACATTTTTGGGCTGTTCGATCTGCTTTCGTCCTGGTCGATGTCGATGTGCTCAGAGCCCTGGTCTTGGTACATTGTGAATTCGATTCACATACTCCTGTAAATCATTATATAAGTAATTAGTTAATTGATATGACAGTTCATTCATCTAAAAAATGAATCAGTGGCTTCTGCATCGGTTTCATGATCATTTGTCAATCTAATAGTAGGTGATGAGCCGCCTGTGCTAGACACACGCCGTCGACTTTTAGGGTCTAAGGCAAGCTGGTTTCCTCACGATGTTTTCCTTCACCGTTCGAGCGAATGTTTAATGCGCAAATTGAAAGAAAGTCTAAAAACTTCAACTCTAATGTGATTTTCTCTCTCCTTCTTCTCTTTGTTCAGTCTGTGAAGAAAGAGAACAGTCATGGCAGTTATGCCAACTATGTCATTTCATTTATGGACAATATGTAGGTATATAGTTTATAATGTATCATATTTGATTATTGTTAATAATGAAGTAACTGTGGTGTCAACATTTAAAAGATTACACTGAAACGACCTCACTCTAATGGTTTTCTTTCCACAGACATTAAAATTATCTAAAGGTAACTTAAAATATAAAGAAACAACTTTAAAAAATTTACTGAATTTGAATGAATTGTGAATTAATTACTGCCCTGCGATTCTGTAACTCACTTTTCGAACTCACACAGCGGTTTTCGCATCGGCGGTCGCTCTCAAATCAGTCGTGAAGCAGTCATTTTATGATTTGGCATTCTGAAAAGGTGGGAGCTTGTAGTTTATTGTTTATCAGATTGCCAAATCATAAATAGACTGCTTCACGACTGATTTGAGAGCGACCGCCGATGCGAAAACCGCTGTGTGAGTTCGAAAAGTGAGTTACAGAATCGCAGGGCTGTAGGAGAATAATAAGCGATACTGACTATAATATGCCGAACCATAGTTGAATTTAATAAATACTTTGAAGTATTAATTAATACTTAAATGCTCTAATGGGGCTTCTAAACGGGTCATGTTTTGCTGCAATTGATGTCTGCACTGTTGGCAACTAATTGCCCGGCCATTACAAACATATTTTAATGCAGCTGATGGCCGAGCAATCTATGGCTGGGCAATGTGTTGCAATATGTCTGCAATAGTATGGCTCATGATGCAGACTCCTAAACGGGCTACACAAACCGGCAGCAATGGCTGACGAAATCACACTTGTCGCAGCAGCTTATATTGTTTTAAAAAAGAAACAGAAAAAGAAGAGATCGTGGATTCGACCTAACTTAAATATGCGTGAAACTGTAGACAATTTGAGTCTAGAAATAAGCCTTGATAATATATTATTCAAGAACTTTACTAGAATGTCAAAAGGCGGTCGCGGGACCGCCACTGTGAAAACCGCTGTGTGAGTTCGAAAAGTGAGTTACAGAATCGCAAGGCAGGTAAATATTTCGTTATTTTCCTTTACTCTATAGTTTTCTGAAATTCGAGCAACGTAGTTGTATTGGATATCTTTTATTTATATCGTATCGTGTAAGTTAAAGAGAGAAGAGAAGAAGAGAGTTAAAGTTTGTTGTAAATTTTATACCATTTAAGTGTATTGCATTAGTAAAATGATGGTACATTTTATTCGCATATTTCAGATATGAAAGCAGTCACTAATGTACGACTCCCGTACGAATGCAATAAGTTTTTTATGGATGACATATTCAAAGAGCTTCGTCTGAATCTTACACTAAAGTTTGCAGAGATCACGCGTGTGTCCTCATTATTTTTGTTTCGTTTCCCTTAAGAAAAAAATGACTTAAAAAGACGATCACACATGCGTATAAATATCGTTACATATAATATCGTTTTAGTAGAAAAAACTATTGCACAGTAGGTACCTATAATATGAAACATATTAGGAATATTTGTAGTCTAATAATTAATTAATCTTTTCCCTGAAAATACAATTATATTTGTACTAGCTGACCCGGCAAACGTTGTTTTGCCATGTACCTATATTATTTCTAGGAAACATTTTTTAGTTCAATAAAAATAACTATCTACTATAATAAAAATAGGGGTTAATCGTAGAGGGGTGAAAATTTAGGGTTAGGTATGTATTTTTTAATGGCACATTATAAAAAACTTAAAAATTAAAATTTCGTCGAAAAAATAAAAATAAAATTTTAGGGGTGGACAACCCTTATCACTTAGGGGTATGAAAAATAGATAGTAGCCGATTCTCAGACCTACTAAATATGCATATAAAATTTGATAAAAATCGGTTGAGCCGTTTCGGAGGAGTATGGTAACTAACATTGTAACACGAGAATTTTATATATATAATAAAAAATTAAGTGTGTGTATCTTTTGTAAATATGGATGACTATTTCAAGGATGAAGCTTAATTAAAAAAAATGAATGAATATTAACTGTAACCGTCGCCATTTTATTATTAAAAGCAACTGTTTGGAAAGAAAATACGGTTAATGTAGGAGTAAAAACTTTACGCTTATTAACGATTGTTAAAATGACCACATACAGTCTGGAACTAAACTTATATTTGAAATCTAATGTCAGTAGAAAGAGTTATCATAGGTTCATAATAGTTATCTACAAATACTAAGCCGCGTGTCAACGCACGCGTCACGCTTTTATTAAACTCACAATCGCATTATTAAGTGATTTTCAGTTTATCAATTCATTAACTCTTTAATCTCAGCATTTATCTGCTATCATATTTAATTAATTTTGATTTACTAATATATGAAGTAATATACAAATAGAATTTAATTTTTATTATTTATTTGTTTTGCTCGTAACCATAGACTATAATGAAAAGGTTTTATAGTAAGGATAGACACGTGCCAAAATTACATGAGAACTTACAAAGGCGCAGCGCTAAACAGATCCGTGCAATTTCCTCAAAACTCTTTGTATTGAAGAAGTCATCGGTCATTATTTCATGTGTGGGCTGTGGTACTAGGTACGCGACTCTAAACTCTTCGGCAGATTTTTTCTAGTTACGCTATGATGGACAAAATGGCTGATCTGAAGCTGATCTATGAAATGAAATAGCAAGAAAACAAAATTCCGTCCGTCGATACATTCGTGATCGTCACATAAAATCTTATATAAAGTTAATCAATCTTATTTATTTATTAACACTTCGTTGCATATACAATTACTAATTATTAATTAATTGCTTATTTGACACATTTAATTAAAGTTTAATTGATGAATGATTTCGTTCCGCTTTGTATAAAGGCCAAGGCGTGTTGACAGTTTATTTATTTATTTCCCAAATAATAATTCTATCTTAATAGCTATTACTAATACGGTAGAACTACACATTAATACCTACATGGTACACCGTTAATTCTGTAATTAAAATATATAGATAGGTATACCTATCCCTTGAAACTAATATCATAAAAAGCAGCTCTTGTGAATTTAGCGGGTGGAAAGTGTCGCGTGCCTGTTTTTTATTATTATTTATTACTTAAGATGTCATGTGGAACATGGTGTAATGGTTGCAGCTCCTTACAAACGTCGTGTAAAACAAAAAACTTGGCGATTAAAAGAGTGGCGGAGAGTTTATTGCCAGTACTTCTCTTCCGTTCTACGCCCTTGATTTGAGAACTGGCAGTAAATGTAAAATTAGAAGCATTTCATATATTTTTTGACCTTCATAAGTGTACATTGTACACTTTGACTAAGTTAAAGAAGTATTCTTACAAGACATTACAACAACCAGGGTTGTAAAAGATCACATAAACCACACTTCAGGCTCATTTTCAAGGACTAACTTCAAGTATTTACCTTGTGATAGCGTGCAGCCATATAACATGAACCCTTTTACAGTCTCTTTCTGTCAAATGGTATTTACACTGTGTTGAAAAGAGACAGATAATAAAACGCAATTAGCCAATAATTTTGTCACCATTAGGTGATTTATTTGCTTTGTATAATTGTAATTATTTAAGATTTTGATTACGTAAGGATGGTCACGTGACCATTAAATGTTCTTTACATTGTTTGTCTTAATGTTTGTTCCTTACAGATAAACCTGGAAGAACTATTGAGAACAGTAAAAAATTGTAACTCAAGCACAAAAGTTGGCGCGGGCCGCAGAGCAGGCGGAAAATAATAAACGTCTCAAATATAAGAGTCTTTCCTCCAACTTTGATTTAGACATAGACATGACATCGACACACTTTTGTATGTCGATGTCATGTCTATGTCTAATAATAATCATTATTAAAAAAAGAAAAATAACTAAAAATTATGGAAAGAAAATAAAAGGAATAAGGTAAATTTTAAGTGTGTAATGTGTGTATTAAGGACTATGGTTATAACTGGCCCTGGCTCAGTGTTTTGAGACTCTTGGGTTCAGATGCACAGGCGCTAATTAAAGATTTAAGTTGGCGCCTGGTATATAGTACCAGTGACCTCAGAGCTGGTGCTTTCGTCGCTCAACGAATAAGTATCGCAACACAGCGAGGAAATTCCGGCGTTAAAGGTACACTGCCACAGGGACCAAATTATATTTATTATATTTGTTTTAATTTTCTATTTATTATTACTATGTATTCCTGCAAATACATTCAAACATTCCTTTTGAAAAGGTTTTTTTGTTGTCCAATTGCACGTTTTGGCACGTTACATTTTATTTGATAAGATTCATTATTATTCAAATTTCATAATACAATTGTTTAGTTAAGCTTAAAGCTGTAATTATTAAAGAACCTCAAGTTTGTTAGTGCATTGATTATTTGAAATAAATCCAAGTGTTTATTATTAATATAGTTTAATCGTTGAATTTCTTATTATTTTGTATAATAATAATAATATATATATTCCGAATACTGTAGTGAAGATCACAGGGTTTCGGAATATTCTTTTGTTGCATTGCAATTCATGAATCTAATTAGTATATTTTATAATTTTTTTTGGATTATTTTATATTGAGGTTGGTGATTCTAAACTTTTTTTTATAAGATTTGGCTATATAGTATATACTTTTTGCACTTTACCCATCATATTAAGTTTTTTAGATTTTTCCTTACTAGAGTTGCCTGGAGAACATCGCT